CGACAGAACTCCTGATTATGCTCTTTGTATAATGTGAAAATAATACTTTTGACCATAGCTCTCACTGTTCATAGGCTGTTTAGTGTGGCATCAATAATTACAAGTTTAGTAGTAGTAAATGAATTGTGATAGAAAAATTCTCACATTGGAAATTCATGAGATAATATAATAATGTAATTAGAGGCTATTTAGTGGTCAAAAACAGCATCTAAATGTTTGATATTCTCAATATTTTATGTTGTGTTTTATCCAAGGCTGGAACCAGAGTTTAGAAATAAGGTATCACACTGAAGATGTAGCACCTGTGCTCCAGTGACCTGTGGAAAAGGCTAAACAGGTCCTAGAATGTTTTTAAAACAGGGATGGGCTTGATTTTGTACATCTTCCACCTTTTGCAGGAACATGTGTGCACAGAGAAGCATTTAAGGTAAAACGGAAATATTCCTTAATTAAAAAATAAAAATAGCACAAAGGAAAAAGCTGCTAACTCAGTGGCTCTGGCCCCACTTTGCTTCTGATTCAGTCAAAGTGCTTTAACCAGTTATAATTCATCACGAGTCAGGTGTCAACACAGGTCACAGCTTCTCTTTTTGTAATTCATGCCTAAAAAACTAAATACTTGGTGACATCACAGTCAGTTACAGACGTTAATTCAACTGCTATTCGCTTTTGGCAATGCAACCTGTTCTACATCACCAAAAGAAACTATCTGCTCGTTCTTGCCAGCAAACAGACGCTAGCTACTCAGGATTAGCTGCTGTTAGCCAAAAGATGCTTTTAAGAAATGAATAAGTTGCTCTTCAGTGTATCCATCAGAGTATGAACGTGTGTAAATGTTGGATAGAAAACACTCATGAAGAAAAATATGTATATGTGTAGGAAAGTATTATAAAAGGACAAGTCCGTTTATCATTGTGTTATGTGTACAGACATTAATCTGTCACTTATGCACCTTTAAAACCTCAACAACAACAAAACTGTGGTGCATCTATAACTAGCCTAAGTGCTTTTCAACAGTTCATTTAAAAATATATAGATGTGTTAACAATAATAGTAAATGATATATTTAAGGGTTAACTCTGAGTTTCGTAGGAATCCAGATCTCACCAAACACCATCCGACCCATTGTTGTAATAATGGAAAGAAACATTTTAAAATGATTTCACTGGCTGTAATATGGCCAATGAAATCATTTACTTTACTACAGAAAATAACTCACTGCCTTTTCAGGACTCATCTCAATCAAAGTCAGTAATCCCCATTTTTAATCAGCTGAGATGAAAGCAATTTTTTAACTCTTCACTGATCTAAGAGGGCTTCCCTGATCAGTGCTTTCAGTCACCCAAGAGTCTCCAGTATCACCCCCAAACAGCAGCCAGACAGCAGAGCAGACAAAGGTCAACAGAGAGCCTCCATTGAACCAGCCAATAGCTTTATCTCTGTCTCCACCCTGCCTCAGCAACAGAAGCAAGTGAGTGAGGCGCTGGTCACTGTTGAACCTGAGCCTAGCTCCCCATGCCCTCTTCAACCTTTGATTCTCTTTGGGAGTTCCCTGGAGGTGAAGACTCCTCAGGAGAGTGTCTGGCAAAAGAAGGAGGGAGTCGAGGTGCATAGCTTGACGATTATCAGCCCTGACAGAGCTGGACTAGCGCTGACCCTGCCCTACTGTTGCTAACGCTTCACTGGACACAGCACTGGGAGAAGAGTGATGCTATTGAGCTGACCTGCAGATACCTAACAATGTAAACACTACACACATGCCACCTGCTATATACTGGCACATAGCAACACTCACCTGTGATGGAAATGAAACATCAAGATCTCACTCAACGCGTTAATCATGTTACAACTAAAGGGTTCCGTTTAAGATGAGATTCAGAGGGAAATGTTTGGTACTTTAACAAGCATAGTGTGCACATGGGAGACGTTGGCCTGCAGGGCATTCAGCCAGAAAGGTTGTTAACATTTTAAAAAGGTCTGTTTTAAAACTGCTACACACTGACATTACACAGTCTGGAATTCATTGTTTCATATTTACAGGAAGACATAAGTGAGAGTTGCATTGATTTGCACAAAAACATAATAAATGTCCAAACTGAAAACAATTACCATTTTAAGAAAGAAATAAGGTCATTTTAATGCAAGTAACAGGGCAATATTTACAACTGTGTAGCATAACCTCTGAACAAGAGTCCAAAATATCATCTGGGAAAAGAGGAGAGAGGATTGTGACTGCTCAACAGTCTCTGATTTCCTCTGTGATATTTTTCATTTTGGGTTGATCCAATTGTTTTCATCTATTTCTGTTGTAATAGATGCAGTATGCAGTTTAGAATTGTCTTGCTGAAATATGCAAAGCCTCTTCTGAAAAGGACAGTGTCTGAATGGAACTATATCTTACGCTAAAAACAGAAATTGTTACAAAATTGTTCCACAATTTGACGTTTTTTGGAGATGGTGACGAACTGCTTCCTATTTTTATAGCCAGTCGTGTTACAGTTAAACTGTTTATTTGCAAAATGTCCCTACAGCCCTTACTTTTCCAGCCGTCTAATTCAAAATGATTTCATATTTTTTAGTGAACACAGCATCCCCCCCCCACACACACACACACACACACACACACACACACACACACAGTGTCAGTGGCACGGAGACCATCTGCAACAAAAACAGTAATTATGATTATTTGGTGTCAGTGTTCATGCTGTGAGATAAGTTCTACCTGTTGTTAAAACTTGTTTTTTTAACCGAGATTAACTTGATTAGAAAGGCGCTGCATACATTCCAGTTCATTTACCATAACACTAAGATTATTGGTAATCTTCCAGTGCAGTGATAAAGTATTTTCCCCTGCTCGATTTCTTACTTTTTTGCATATTTGTCACATTTAAATGTTTCAAATCATCAAACGTTTTTTAATAGGGGGAGCTGAGCAAATACAAAATGCAGTTGTGATGATTTAATGTATAAAGGGAAACGAGTTAGTCAAACCTTCCTGGCCCATTTTGAAAAACCTAATAACTGGTTGTGCCACCCTTGGCAGCAAGAACTGCAATGAGTCTTTCAGATGAATGTGTGGTTCTGCTTTGCAGAATTGTTTTAATTCAACTACACTTGTAGCGTTTCAAGCATGAACAGTGTGTTTAAGATTATACCAAAGTATCTCAAATGGATTTAAGTCCACAGAATATTTTCAGGGATCATCAAGATGTTTTTTGGCAGATGTGAGATGAGCTTTGATGTTCTTTTTGGTCAGCAGTGGTTTTCTCCTTTGAACTCTACCATGGACACCCTTTCTGTCCAGTCTCTTTCTTACTGTTGAATCATAAACTCTGACCATAACTGAGGCGAGTGAGGCTTGCAGTTCTTTAGATGTGCCCATGGCAGGCCAGCCACTCATGGGAAGGTTCACCAGCACTTCCAGTTTTCTCCATGTGTGGAGAAATGATTCTCACTGTGATTTGCTGGAATCCCAAAGCCTTGGAAATGACTCTGTGACTCTGTTCAGGCTGACAGATGTCAGTGACCTTGTCTTCTCAGCTGTTCCCTTAGATTGAGGCACAAGCCTCCTTCACTTTGTCAGACTCGTCTATCTACTGGTTTAACAGGTCTGGCAGTAATCGAGCCTGATTGTGGCCAGTGAAACTAAACTTCACTGAACTTAAAAAATGTGGTTAATCATAAATGCTATCTATTATCAATTTTATTATTTTCCATTGCTGAAAAACAAGTCACATAATAACTTTTTCTGAGCTCATGTGCTTGACATGTGCTGCTGCTCTGGATTACCTCAGATTTTCAGCCTCTGACACTATGAAGCTAATATAAAAGGAAGAATTCAGAATCTAATCATCGACCATGAATACCACAACCTGCTCTGTATCACTTCAACATACTGCATTACTGCAGATTTTCCCCACAGTACTGCAAACCCACCGTTTTAGCCTCCACTAAACTTTAACTAAACCCCGGGTACAGTGTTATGTTTTCTTATTTTCAGCAACACAAATCAGTGTGTTTGTTTTTCATTTTGTTTCACCAAAACATATTTAAGCAAAACATCTGATTTATAAACTCTAAAATTAATAAGGAAATTATATTTAAGATTTAAATGTTACTCTCTCAGCTTCCTCCTGTCCTCTCTTTGGTATTTCTTTCTCCATCTCTTATTATGACAGTAACATTTTTTTATCTTTCTGGGAAATATAGCAACCACACATTAGCTAACAGCTATATTTGTGACAAACTGCAGAGGAACGCTTTGTATATTTGCTGATAATTATTTGAAATTACTGCCCTCTTTTATAAGTTTCTGCTTTTAAAATGAAATAACTTCTGCTTCTTTCTCTTATGCAGCGCTAGCAAGATGATGAAATACAGCAAACACCACTTTATTTTACGCACACAGGGATAAGGACAAGTTGATGTGTTGAGGGTGGGCAGTGGAAGCTGTCATGCTGTCACTGGAAATGATTAATTGTTCAAGAGTAATATGCATTAATTTGCATGTATCACCTTTAATTGCTCATTAACTGAAGATTCTACATCTTCAATTTTAAACCCTGGTTATCACAGACTAAAAACATTTTTATGTTGATTCATTCTTTAAGTTCAGCCTGTAGCTTTCCAAACTCTGGGTGAAAAGCAAATAACAGAAAAGCTGAGTTGATCTACATGGATTCATCCTTTAGCCCTCCAAAAGCACTGTGCACAGGGATATTGCATCGTTTTGTCTTGTGAGTTGCAGAGTGGGATCTCCATGAATCCAGTTTGTTGTCCATACTTCACAAATGCTCAACTGGATCATCTAGGAAGTTTGAAAGCTGGGTCACTGGCTTAGTTGTGTTGAACTGTTTTGAGACGTTTCTGTGGTATGATGTGGAGTCTGTGGTTTTAATGCTGTACTGTAGCTGATTGATGTGTGTGTCCTCTAGTCACCATTCACATCAGGTATGCTCAGTAATTTTGAAAATAAATGCCTTCTTTTTTCTTGCTAGATCATCTTGAACTCCATGCACAAGTACCAGCCCAGGCTACACATAGTCAAAGCTGATGAGAACAATGCCTTTGGATCAAAGAACACTGCTTACTGCACCCATGTCTTTCACGAGACAGCCTTCATCTCCGTAACCTCTTATCAAAACCACAAGGTATGTCTCGAATGTATGCTATAATAATTAGCATTTGGTTTAGAATAGTCTTGAGTGCTCAGAGGGTATTAAGTGTTTTATCTAAATGTGAGGAAAAGCACCATAACCCTGACCACATAAAGCAAAAATCAAACAAAAAGCAACCATAACCACGCAACTTCATGTTTTTAGTTTCTATGTCTATCTCAGTGGGACTTCCTGGTTAAATAAAGGTAATACCAATAATAAATAATTAAAGCTGTTTTCATGCTTCCCCCTATTTTTAGATCACTCCCCAAATCTTGTTCAGGCAACTTCCAGTTTCTCTGTGGAGATAAAATTGGTTAAGACACAAAACGACTTCTGTGACAAACTGAGCTGACTTTCATGTCGAAGGTCTTCACTGCTGTTCTCTTTCTAAAACCCTAAGAGCAAACATCAGGAGTCTCAATGCAGTACATCAGCAGGACCGCCAGCCTTAACTGTAGCACATGTTCACTGTACATTGGTGCAAGTGGTCAGAACAGGATTCCCGGGAAGTGATTTTCAAGAGGAAGGAAGTATGGAAGTACTGCAGAAGCACTAGGAATAACCTTGACAGGAATAGTGACTGAATTTTCCATTTATCAGCTGTATTTAGATAACACCAAATCACCACAGACATTGCCTCAAGGCACTTTATGTTGGAAGGCAAAGAACAACAACACTACAGAGATAACCCCGACAATTATCAACATCCTTTAAGCACTTTGGTCCTTTTTAGTTCAAACCTGTAAACAATATACATTTAGAAAGGAAATAAGAGAGAAATAAAATACTATATAAAAAAAATCAATACATTTCAATGTAGCTGCCGTTCTGTACACACTTATTTAATCCCACCCCTTTGCCACAAATTATCAGTTAATATTTAGTCAGCTTCCTTACTGATATAATTTGTAATAAAAATAGTGAACAGATTTCTGGTATACTATATACTATAATATCACATCATGATTTTTTTTTTAAAATAGAGACATTCACTTAATTTAAATCATTTTCCTTTTCTTTATAGTTGAGAAGATCATATTTTTATAACTCTTTGGTGAACAGTGAGAAGAACAGGACGAAGGAAGGAGTCGTCTGTAAAATCAGACTGGGGGGGGGGGGGGTAATACACTGTGGAAGAGAGCCAGAGATGAATAATAACTAATCATTTAATCCAAAGTGGTGTCTGAACCCACAGTGAATGAAAAAGACTCAGTCCATCATTGGGAACTCCCAACGGCCTAGACCTATCTGTGGGGACACACCCACCTGGAGGGCAAAACAGCACTGCCATCCAGCTTTCCCCTGAACCTCTTTGAGTTTAATTTAGCCAAAATGCCAGATAGCTGCTGTGCTAAGCAATGTTTGTTTACAGCTACAGTACCAGAGGGGTGTAGAGTATGGAGCAAGGTGTGAACACACCTACCTGCCTCCTATTCTACATTCTAAATGCACCAGCAACCACAAGTAAGTCAGCAGTCTGAGAGTGCTCTAACTATTATAGTTATAAGATACTATGAGGTTTTTAGATAAGATGAGACCTGATCATTCAAGACCTTATACGTGATGAGCAGGATATTTAGCCAGTGAAGAGAAGCCAATATGGGAGATGTTATCTTGTCTAGCCCTGACACCTGGGACAAAAAATCAGCCCGGGCATTTTGACTAGTGACCGGCCCACCAGGTATTATAGGAAAAGCCATAAAGCCTTTATAATAAACTTAAACCTACACCATCCTCCCTATTCTGGTATTCTAAACAGTACTTAGCAAAAATATAAAACAACCTAATTTATAATTACATATACCTCACTAATAGGGTTGCCAACTCCCAGCAAAAAAAGAAAAGAAAAAAATAGGGAACCACTCCCCCACCCTCTGCCTCAAGATGCTTAATTGACAAAACCGATTTTAATTTAATGCACGTATAAAACAAATGCACAGAAATCTATTATTTTTCTCCAGTAATTAAATAGATTCAACATCTTTCTTCAACAGAATTGCAGACTGCACAGATGGTACCTTCCCAAAGGAAAGAATACTATAACTTACTAGGGTATATTAGACTTAATATTTACTGAATACTAATAATGGATTTCTATACATTTTACATCAGATGAAAACTTTGGTTGTAAGATTCAGATAATTATTAATTAAAAGCGAGACATTTTAAATGAGAATAAGAAAGAAAAGTATTTCTTTGTGCCACCTGCCCCCCTGGCAACACTTTGCTAGACCCGCCCCTGCACAGTTACCAGCTGTCAGCTACTTAGAAAAGGATCCTGGTGGTTATTTGTCTCTCAGAAACAGTTCATAACTTCAACTCATTCATGTCACCTAAAAGGTAAACCTGTTTCTCCATCACAGCTCTGATGATCCAGTAAGGACATCTCCTGGTTTCATCTTCATGTTTCCCTCTCACCACATATCCAAACCAACATCATGACCAGCAGCTTTGCAGCTGTGGCTCCAGCAAACATCAGCTGATACTAGAAATTAATATTAAATCAATTCTAACAACAGCTGATCAAGCTTAAACGTGCTGCTGTTGTTTAGCGTGACCTGTGCTGGTTTCCTCTTTCCGGCGCAGAGAAAAAAGCCGATCAGCCGATCAACTTTCTAGCTGAAGTAGTACGGGACAAATCGCGTTCCTTTGTTTTCCTTTGACCTCCTCAGCTGTAATTGTCCAGCCCAGAGTCGATCATGACCAACTGGCCAATCCACCACCATTCATTTATACTGTTAAAAAAAGAAAAGAAATAAAACCCATAAAAATGAAAAATCACGAGCGGCCCACCGGGCAAATGCCCGATCATCAGTCCAGCCCTGCCTGTCACTACTCTTGCTTCAGCATTTTGCTTTCCAGGGAGTTTTTAAGACAAATTGATTAGAATTATTAATCTTTTTATCAATTAATTAATTCTAATTAAAGTATGAAGACATAATGTGAAGTCTTTTTGCTTTTAAAGGGTAGAGTCAGACCGTTTTGGTCAGAGCTCACAGTTATAGACTGATGAAATGGAAATGTAACTATAAAAGCTCTTGCCCAGTATCAGCAGGGACTTTTTCAGAATAACAGCTTTATTAAGGTCTCATTTTCCTAGATCACTCAGCTGAAAATAGAAAACAATCCATTTGCTAAAGGATTCCGAGGCAGTGAAGAAGGAGATCTGCGTGTCTCAAGACTTCAAGGGTATGTTTACAGAAAAAGGAACCAGGAAAGTAAAGCTGATCTCATAAATCCATTTAGGACACTATAACTGTCAGTGAGGGTATGTATACACAGCAAACTAAATATACTTCTACTCTATCACTTCTACTCACCTACAGGAAAGAGTATCCTGTGATTTCAAAGAGCATGGTTCGCCAAAGGCTCATTTCAACGCACAGTCACCTAGCGGGGAAACTTGGAGCAGGAGTTCTCGCGGGGCATCCTCAAGTACTGTCCTCTTACCAGTATGATACTGGGGTTCCTTTGTCTAACCCAGACTCCCAAGATCCCATTTCTACTCACTTCCCACAAAGCAGAGATCCCAATCTTCTTTATCACTGCTTCAAACACAGAGGTATGTTCTGCTGATAAGTGTGCAACATCACAGACGCCATTGGCTGCAATTGCCATTAACTGCAGTTTTCTTTGTAACAACGTTGCAGATAACGGGCGACACTTGGAGCTCGGATGTAAACGGTCATACCTGGAGACATCAACTGCAGTCTCAGATGAGCATTACTTTCGGTCGCCTCCTTCTTACGAATCACCCTTACTCTCTCATCCATATCGCACTGAGGCAATCACTTCTAGAGAGGCGTGTATGTATGGTGGTATGGAAACAGAGTCTGGATCCGGGGCGGCAGACGCAGATGACCTAACCAACTCTCCTTCAATTAATTGTAATATGTGGGCTACAGTGCAGCCGTACCCTCGCTACGGCATGGAAGGCGTACCCTACCAGCCTTTTACTGCTCACTTCACCAACTCAGCCACGGTCGCGCCTGTGGTGCCACACCCGGCATCATCGGTGGTGTCACGACCACAAGCTGACTTGGGCGTCTACAACTCGGCCGCAGTCCAGCGAGGTCTGCCTGTGATACCACCTTCAACCTCTTCTTCATCAAGCTCTCCATCTTTCCCGGGATCCAGAGATAGTTCAGGTCATCCACCTCTGTACCACAGGAAACCAGGATCGCCACTCCTACCTCACCGAGATTTCTCCAGCTATTCAGCACAGGGTACAATATCCATCCGGGAGCCGGCTTATCAGTACCAAGTTGGGCTGAGTAGCACAGGAAGTAACTGGACTGACAGCTAATGTCGGTCACTGGAGACATCAGTTTTCTCATATGAAGGTTTCCAGAATCCCACTGTGGGGTGTCAGTGCCAAGCAATGCTAATGAACTACAGTCATGTTGCAGGCAAACTGAAAACCAATATCCTTTACACCCACGTGTTCATACTGAATCAATATTCCATCCAATGCTGTAGGTGGCAAACAGTGACAGACCTGCTCTTTACTTAGTCAGATGTGCTATAAGCCAGTGATCAGGTGGAGTGGGGCGGTTCGGTCACACTCAAATGCAAATCATTGGTTTGAATGACACTTGAGGTATGTCAGAGACATCGCTACGGGTACAAAAAGTGTTACGGTTGTCAGTGTCTTGTCCTATCAAGGTAGCATTAGCAGAAAAACACTTAGCAGGAGGACAAAGAAAATTAAATAAGCAGAAGTTAACAGCTGCCCTGTTTAGTTTAGCGAGTGCTTTTCAGTCCCAAAATAAAGAACGGTCGCTGGTAATTCCTTTTTTAAAATTAATGTCAATAAAATGCATAAAAAGACCCCAAAAACAATCTGGTCATGTCCCAAATCTGTCTTTTTAATGACTTCTGTGGTATGTCTTTGTGTATACCACGAGCCAATCAAATGCTAGATAGACAGAAGTACATATTGTAGCACAACTTCAAGTGTGTGACCTCGATCGAGTCAAAGCTGTGCTGTCATCTCGAGTCCACCTCTGGCTTTTTGCTTCATCGTGGAGATTTCAGTGTGTTGAACACTTGAACTACACCAACATACACTTTGTTCTCATTTTGACAAACAGTCCATTCCATGTTGGGTGACGATGAGTCGATCGGTATTTCTTATAGCAGCAGATTGGTGTACATGGGATTGGCTCACCAAAATAAATGACAATGGGCAATTTTATTCTTTAGTTTTGAGTTTTAATCATGCACATGTGCCAAAAATAGAGTTGTTACACTTCTATCTGCAGAGCAAGAATGCATTAAACCCAGTGTAAAATAAGACTGATCAAAATATAAAGGAAGATAAATCCAAGTTCACGTCATAAACTCATGTGCACTGGCATTAGAAAGCTAGCAAGACACTCTTTCCCCATGTTGTTGTACATACATAAATGAAGTGAAAGGTGTACCACAATCCACCATGATGGCAATTGTTAATATGTACGTTTCTACAGCTTGTTTGTCGTGTGATGCTGGCACTTAAGAAAAAATGTTGCGAGTATAAGATTCAGCCACGGCACTGTGGTGGGTCATCAACGTTTGGCTCCAAAGTGAAGACTCGAAATCACACTGAACAGCAAAGAGTGCTCAGGAGGAACCAGATGGGAGCTTAAAGAGCTGTTGTTAAGCCAGCACGAGTACTAGAAAAGACAGCGCCTCGCCAGTCCGACTCCCAGATTACTTACTAGGAAAAAAATCCCTGCACAACATAAAACAGCCTGAGCGGACAAGGAAGAGGACGTCCTCAGTAGAACTGCATTCAGTAAAAATCGGAACTTGTATTGCCAACGAAAGCTTCTTTGTACGAAATGATATAGGTTTGTACATTGTCCTTTTATTTCATGTAAATTCAATATAACATTTTTGAATATTTGGACATTTTTGCACATGTGATAAATAAACATTTTCATGAATCTAACTGTCTGACATAATTAATTAAAGACACTAAATGACATTTCATTACAACTCTTTATTATTATGAGGAAAAATGTTCAGAATTTATATTTAAAGCTATTAAACGCTGATGATAAATAATGCCAAGTCCCATAAATAGCATTCCAGATGATTTTGCTGCCTAACGACAGTTTATGGTCTATGACGATGAGTCAATCAAAATTTCACTTAGCAAATATTTGACATTTGAAAAATGTTGGCGTTGGGCATAATTCATTGTGTTGGTTGTGGTTTGACTGATGCAGAGTGTCCAAGTTTTACTGTTATTGGCCTTTTTCACTCCTCACATGCAAACATGCAGAGCTCAAAGAAAAATAGCAAAGATTTGAAAACTTTTAAATACTCATTCTGCTCAACATCATTGAGATTTTTAAAGAGACATTAAATCAAAGTAGTTTGATAATCTTGATTGCAGTTTAGAGATTTTGATGTTGCAAAAAACCCTTTCACAATATGCACTATACTCTATGGCTGCGGTATAACATGTCAAGCTTGGTGTTTAAGTGAAACCCTCCTCTGTACACAAGCTTGTTGCTAAAAGGCTTTTGAGCAGCTTCAGCTTGATTTCATTTTAAGAACCTCAAAAGTGTTTTTATACCTTTTGGGCCAGAAAATTCTCACTGGTTTGACACTGAACGCCACTGATTTATAAAACACAAAGACCACTACTTGACACTTGCGGCATTGTCTAACCGAAACCAAAATATGTACTTATAGTACAAGTGTCCACTTGGGTAATAATCAGTAAATGTCAAAGTGTCCTGCAATCAAAAGTCAATCTGTTGAAAGGAATGTAGAGACAGCAGGATGCGTGTATCAGCGTGGAGGGCACTGCTTTGCCTCACATGCAGCTCTCGTTAGATCATGAGTTATGCTGATGGCCAGGTCCTGGTTCTTGTCAGCACCTCTTTCTCGATCTCTTTCTCAGCTGCTGATGTAGTTCACATGAAGGATGTTCTCATCATAGAGCGCTCACACTCCAATCAACAAATCATCAGCCAGCTATCTTGAAATGTTGAGCTGTAAGTTGTCTGATAATAGTAATCTGACATTCCTTTAGCTGCCAGAGCAAACTTCATTCAGCCAGGGTGCTCCCAGAGGGCCATACCAGTGTTTTTACTAATTGTGACTACTATAGATTATGTATGCACTTTGCTTTATCTGTTTGCAGCACAGCTTCAGATTTTCAGTTGTAATTGATGCTTATTCATCTGTTATTTTCATAAGTATTGGTGAAATATGATTTCTGGCCCTCTTATTTTCACTTATGCAGTTTTTCCCATTGAAGGAAGTAGACAAAACAATTCTAGTCTTGACTGACTTGAGCTTCTATAACGTTGAGCAGAAGCAATAGTTAATGACTGTATCTCGGCCTACAAACCCTTAAAGTCAATTACATTTAACAAAAACAACAAAGCGATGGAGGGTCACACCAAAGATCAGTGACTCCACTTAATAGTTTTTTAGTAGAGGCTTTAATAGTGCATTTCAGGGCAGGACAGGCATATTGAAATTTATGTTATCTGTTTCCACATAAAACCTTAGTCAATCTCATTATAAAGAAGCCACGTTTAAGCCCCTTATGGAGCAGAAGTTAACTAAGCCCAGTATGTATCTCCAGCCAGAGAAGCTGGGACTTGCAGTCCATCTGGAAGTCATTGAGGGGAGATCCGCTCCCCTCTCCCCTACGTCGCACTGCCCTTCTCTACTGTCGTCCCATAATCCCATCTAACAGCCGCCTGGGCTTGGCTGGCCCATTCAGCACACTGATGGGCTTAGCTTGGCCCTCTTGTAAAAAAGGAAAGGCTTGGTTTTTCGGCAAGCCCCTCCAAAAAGACACTTTAAATATCTAAGGGGGATTTAATATCAAGTCCATTAGGGGTTTTCTGGGGCCCTGTAAATAGTCAATTAGTGGATAATTCTGATTCGATCCACATGCAGAGAGATCTGCCATACAAAGAATAGAGCCAGTCCAGGGGTGTTCTCATTTAGCTTCCTACCAGATTACCATTCGTGCGTCACAAGCACAGGGTGACACTGTGCATTAGCTGAGTGCAGGATAATGAACATGCTAAGGTGTTTTAAGTTGTCTTTGTTTTACTCCTTCATAAAAATGATTAATCGCATACAGGAGGCCAGAAGAGCACAACGCTTACACACGGATTACCCACAGTGGGCAATGCTTAGAAGAGTGGGAGGTTTGAGGACTGGGCCAAAAGGACACAGGCTAGGTTCAAAGCTCTGGTAGGGGGACATTAAACTGTTTGTGTCCCTTGATCAAACATACAGCTGGTTGGCAGCGATATAAACCAAAGCTAAATCTCCTGTATAAAACAAGATTCCAGCATTTCAAAGTGGCTTCGGATAAAAGCGTCTGTAAAAACTAATTATCATTAACATAAATTCTGGGATTAGACACGTAGACAGCATTATTTACTTTTTACACCGGACAAAAACATTTCGCATCGGAAACTCGCGTTCTTTAGAAATGACGTAGTAGTCCAGGACATGTTGTGTTTGAGCTTTCGGTACTTTTAAAGCAACTGAAATGTGAAACAAAACAAGAATTACTATCACAGTCCATGCCAAGCTAAGGCATGCAGATAATGTGTACTTTTGTGGCGTAATACAAATGAAACACTGCAGATTGCAACACAATGAAAGCCAGGCTGCATATCCTCCAAGTGCAGTCATAAATTAGCAAAGGTTTGGAGCAATAGTGCTCTCCAAATGTTCGTCGACCTCTTGTGAATAAGTCTAAGGACTCAACATGAAGCAAACTGAGAATACTTACTGACCACGTTCAAAGAAATGCTCAAACAAAAGCATTTTAAAAGAAAAAGCACAGATGGACTTGCTGCTGACAGAAAATGAGCGGATTTTTTGGCAAGAAGGGCAAGTGTGGACCTGTATGGGAGCAGCCTGTATACATTTTTTATAAATAATTTTGAGGGTTAACATTGATAAAAAGTTGTACTGGCTCAATTTAGAGTAAAATATTATTCTTTATGTTATTTAATAGAAAGAAAGGAAACTGTACCCACAACTGTATGTAATTAAATCTTCCTGCAAAATGATGCAGTTTCATGAATTTAGATTTAATCTATTAAAAATACATAAGAGCAGATTTGTGGTTTGTACAAGCCGCCATGTTCCCCCAACTCAATCTGAATACACAAGCACATCTGCCTTCCAACTGACACAGGCTACACACTGGCCACGTATGCAGAGGTTGGGAAATTTGAAACTCATGCCTGCACCTTTAGATTAAAGATACGAACATAAATGTTTCATCCTCTGAGAGCGGATCCCTTTCATCAAAGAGGCACAAATGCAAAGGAAAGAGACAATGCCACCAGCACCATATAATCCTCTTCCTTCTTGTGTCAGGTACATCTCCTGAACTGAAGTCAGGACTCTGGCACATGAAAATATGGATAAATATCCTTATTTATTCCCAATGTTCTTTTTGTCAACAGACTAGGCATGCAACCCTCCCATCTCCAGACAACTGACAAAAGACAGCTAAACAACAACAAGACCTCGTTATAAGCTAACATTATGCTAGCTGACGTTACGTTTGAGTGGCCTAAAAATCACGATTATATTATTACATTCTCACTTTGTATGACAGTTTATTCATTAAGAACTGGAGAGTCCAATGCCATATGCATTACACTAACACTGGCTAACACCAGATAACAGCAGCTAACTGCAGCTAACAGAGGCTAACGCGCACAGTTCCTCAACAACTCACCGCCTTCTTGCTGTCGGAAGCTTTATTGTTTTCTCTCCCAGAGTAAATAAAGTTTGATGCTTCTCACCCAGCATCGAGGTAAACAGCAAACTGACAGCCTACACAGTTGGGTAAAACTGGTCAGGGAATGTACTTGATTAGCAAATCAAGTACATTCCTTATATATGTAAGCTGGCTACAGTTTTTGAGGTGACTCTTAGGTAAAAGTATAAAATACTGCAAAATATTTAAATGACCGTGAATTGGTCTTATCCATTTTTCATTTTCTGATTAACAGCAAAGTGTTGATATTATTCAAATATGTTAAAATACAGTGAGTGCAAAATGTACTTTTTACAATTGTAGAAAAATGCTAGCCAGTCACAGGCGTTATAGGGTGCAGTCTAAATGTAACATGTTTCATCTCTTAGCTGGCTAAAACTTTTAACAGCCTAGCTAGGTTTGTGCAGTTCAGTTGGGAGGAGTAAGAAACTGAGACCCGCAGACTGCAATTAATGCAAACTAAGGACTTATAGCAGTGAAAATGTTATACATTGCTTTACAGTTTTATACACTTTATATAGTCTAGACCATGAACTTCGGGTGGTCTACAGTTCGCTGTAAGGCAGCTACGATGAGTCGGCAACTACCGAGGCCATGGTTCCGTTTGACCAATAATTGTAAAGTATTATTTCTAATTATTGGTCAAACAAGAGACTGACAGGTAACTTGATGTGCCATCAGTAGTAATGAAATTTTACTTAGTTTTGAGTTTTGTGTAGTAAACAGAAAGGCCAAAATGAGTTTCTCCCTGGTTCCTGGATCACACTTAGAGATCGGGTAAGAAGTTCTGATATTTGGAATGGAACATGTACCACCCATTGACTGTAGAAAACAATGGTACCACCGCACCTTTGTGTGTGTTCATAGTATTTTAAAGGTCTTAACATTAAACTTACCATTGGTTTCCCAGTCATAATACGAGTGCATATTCCTTTAGCATCAATGTTTCCCAGCTCCTCATTATTCTTACTATTTGTTTTTGTTCTCCAGCATGTGTATCTACCGTAGGTTTAGTTTTTAGTATGACTTTGTTTGATTTTTACAGATTCTAAAGTGGCTACAATATCTTCTCCATTATTTGTTCCAACATTCAGGTATAAAATTAAGCTCTGTTTTTTGTGGTTTTTACAAATATCCTGTTAGTCTGCTTCCAAAATTGAAAAAATGAGTAGGCAGAATTTAAAACAAATAAAAAATTTAAACACGCTTCCTTCTGCCCGATCTGATTTCTGATCTGATTTGGAAACACGGTGCTAAAATGCTGAATCCTGATAAAAATCTTCTTGAAAATCTTTCGATTGGTAATAAAGACAGCTAAACCATGAGCATGCCTAGATCTCCATTAAGACTTAACCTTTGGATCCCTAATAATGCCTTTTAATTAAGTCAACCCTCTTTCACCTCAAGTTGGAGCATATT